CCTTACAATTTTCTTATTGCTATATTTTCTGCGATAATAACATCGTAGGTCATTTCTTATATTCCGCTCTCATGAGATACGATTGCGCACGTTCTTTCCTTCGCTTTATGTCTTAATTATAAATAATTAAGGGTCTATTTGCAGCAACGACCTCGGTCAACTAATTTCTAACAGCAATTTCCTGTTCCTTTCCAGATCACGACAATTATTTCAATAGAAACCATTTCAATAGAAGTCCGATTGCGACTTCATCATTTGCTATTGGTAATAAGGAAATTCTAAAAAATTTTTTTATAAATATAATCATTTTTGAGTAAAACTTTATAAAGTTAAACAAGAGAAATTATATTCTCTCATTCGTTAACATAATATATATTAAAAATATATTGCCAATTTTTTTCAACTAACGTTAGTGACAATATATGAGACATTATATTAGGTGCTATAACAAGCTGTAAGTATCTGAGTCTTTTTTTGTCTAATTTTATATGTAACACAATTGGCTGGAAAGGACAGTAATAATTGCATATGTCCTTTAGACAGAAGAGAACTTGGTTGACCATAGCGAGAATGCAAAATAGGATGCATCGATGCGATAAGCTCGAAGGGAGATTCGCATTTTTTATGCGATACATCAAGATATTTTAACATGATCTTCGATAATTTTGAATATGAATAATGAATTGAATAATAAATTCAAACGCGTACTGTATGATAACTTCTCATTTCGCTCCGCCTGGCACGAAGGCGCGCAAACTTGTCAATGCAGAATGTTGTTAACAATATTGTAGTATATAATTATAAATAACACAAACGAAATATAATTAGAAATGTTAAAATGTTATCGTTGTTGTCTTCGTTGGAGCATGTGTCACTGTTTTCGCCCATAATCGTCCTCAAACTTAAATAATAGATAGATTCAAAAATAACCATGATGTTACATTAAGATAACTAGAACAAGTAACATACATGCCAAACTATAAATAAATTTATTTAATGTTTAGTCAATTCAAGTAGTAAGGAATAGGCAAAAGATACATATCAAATTTGAACTGATACATTGCGCTAAACATATATACATATATATATATATATAGATATACATTTATTGGCATTATGATACATATTTGTTCCAGAATTTTTTTGGATGACTACAATTAGCGACTTGTCATTGCTATTGCATGAAATTACGACAGCTTAAATAAGTAGATTATTTAGTTGAAACTCTGGTACGTTTATTCCAAGAGAAATTGCTACCGTAACTACGAGGTTTTGGCTGACTAACATTCGGCTTTTGCACATAGTAATCCCATCCCATCTTCTTGCAATGTGCAATTGCTTCCTCCTTTGTTGCGAAATCAACTTTTATATTTGACATAGGATCTCCACTGCATCAAAAATATATATATTACTATTATATACATTATGCATCGCTATACTTAATACAATATATACAGAACCATCATAAATGATTCATATATATATGTATGTATATTTTGATTTGTATAATTTTATATAAGAGGATAGCTCTTAAAGCATTCTAAAAATTTTAAAGAATGATTTGCCACATTAATTTAAGATTATATTTCATATGGTTATATATTCAAAATGACTTATTGTTAAATGTAAAGACTTATTGTTAAATGTCAAAGTTAAAGAAAAAATTTTTTCAAAAATTTTAGAAATTATTCGGACTATTTTGATGAAATTTTATGTAAGTACGTTTCTAGGGTCATCTTTTGGGGCCATACACATACATTAATTTTTTATTTAAACAGAGGCGGATAAGCAGATATCTTTGAAATTATTTTAGATACAGTTTTCGTCTTGAATTAATGTAAAGAATCACTTTTTAAAATCTTTTAGATTTATTTAAGAATATTATTACTTTATATACATAAAACGTTAACATAAACATTAATGTTTACCTGGAAGTCCAACCCATCAATGGATTCTCCCAACGTTCGCGTGTATCAAAGTCCATTTGCCAAAAATGAATGTTATTTGTTCCGGATTGCATAGCGCTCTTGGCAGGTTGATATATCCGTACTTTACGTGTTTTAATATGCTCCTCAGGAACACCAGATACATAACCAACATCCTCATCAGATGTTACGGTAATTGTACTTTTTAAAGCTTGCAGATGCTTGGCCTCCTCTGGCGACAGTATAGTTTCTTGGAGGCTCTTGCGCTCCGCTATATCGGGTTTCTTTTGTATGTCTGTGCCTTTATTTGAAAATAACCTACTCCATCTACATACAGAGCTTCTTTAGAATTTGTAAATTATAAACTCGTCTGTTAAAAATAATAGCTTACAAACTAATATTACTAACATTACGCTCCTAGTAATTATATTTTAATTCTAATGCAAAAGTAAAATATAGAAACATTGTAGTTGTAACAATTTAGAGATAGGCTGGTGTTGGTTCTCCAACTCCATATAAAATTGCAATTTACTTTTTTTACATTACATAACATCAAGAAATCGTAGAAAATAGCAACTTAAATTTTTTATGCATTAAAACCATATATTTAATAATGATAACAATTTAACGCAGATTTAATAATTTGTTATATAAATTTTGAGGTTATGTTTACTTCTATCACTTGTCCAAAAAATTAATAAAGCAAGATACCTAAGACTACTCCTACTAATTCCACTTGCATATTGTTGCAATAACGCACAAGATGCCATTATTCCGTTCGCAAAAATACGACAAATGACAAATCGATGCGAAACAGCTGATCAAACAGAACCTTTGACTATATAAGCACAGTATATACAATAGCGCAACTCTCTGTCGACATCTTTGATGTTGGCCAAAATGGAATGCGCATGCATGAAATAAGTAAGTTATCTAGTGTTGCCACGGTTACCACCTAAACTTCTTTCTCTTTTCATCCTATTTTCACTTTGTCAAAATTCCTCGCAAAACGCACTAGATTTATTCGCATCGCAATCCATTCAGATCATTGAAGTGAGTTAGTGCTATTGTGGGAACATATTGGAGCATATTAGAGCATACGACACGAATAAATCTAATATTGTGGTGAAATAATTTAAACTTTATGAAAATTAATAAAAATAAATTGTAAATATATTGAAAAATAAAGAAAAAATATTTAAAAATTAAGAAAAATATTAAATTATTATAACTTAAAAATATATATTTGTATAAAGAAATATTATGTAATTATATATATCTATGAAAATGTTATAAGAAAGCTGAGAGATATAAAAGAAATTTATATACATGTATGTCCAAAAAATAAATTTAAAATACAATAAATAAAAAGAAACCTTTTTGCTCTATTTTTTGTGTTACTTTTTGTTCACTTTTTTCATTTTATCACTTTTTCATAAAAATTAGATCAATCTCTCGAGATTTCTCGCACATTTCACCAAATGAACAATACACGTAACACTTTCTTCTAAATTTCTACTCTAAATCATATATGCTTGAAAGACAAATGTTTAAGTGGAACATTGAAACGCTTATTTAAATAGAGAGAGAAAGAGAGAGAATAATAAAAAAAAGGAGGAAAAAAGACAGGGCAACTTACTTATTTCACACATGTGCACTCCATTTTGGCCAACATAAAATCGGGAGAGTTGTGCTACTGTATCTACTGTATATACGAGTACTGTGATATAAGTATGAATCGCCAGTAGCAAATTTGACACTGGTTGACAAATAGTGGCGACACCATGTCATTAACCAAGAACTACAAGTAAAGTATGTATAGTCAGTGCACTCCGCAACTTTTATTGAAGCCACATGAAAGAATCAACATTCCTATATAAAATTTTCACTCTTTCGGAGTGAGATTTCATTTGAAAGAATTTAAAGAGTAAGGTACAATTTTGATAAGACAACTAATTTGAATTTTGCGTGGATTATAATTAACTAAAAATCGTTAAGGCCGATTCACCAACGCCGATCAAGCTTAATCGTGATTAACTGTCAACTGCAATTAGTTGATTCTACTAAACAGCAAACGCGATTGGTCAGTCCACGGCCGAGCCTCATTAAGCTAACTAGCGTTGATGAAACTGGCCCTTACACTTCGGAACACTTCTCGCTTAATTTTGCCATATAGGATTTGCAGCCTACTGACGGTCCATACTTATAGCCAAAGGACAGAACAAATTTCAAACTGTCGGCAAATATAAAGGTACCTTTTCATGCTGACGCTCGACACCAAAAAGTATCGTAATGTAAGAAGACGGAATACCATTGCGCATAAGGTGACTGAATATTAGAGCAGCCAATCAAATTTCACCCCCAAATGTTGCGCGAAATTCAAACGCCGTACTAAGATTAGACTATTAATATTGCAGTGCTCTAAAAAAACCGTGGAATACGAAAATATATGAAAATAAATATATAAAAATAATGATATATATAATGCCAATATGAGCCAACACAAGATTATAATGTGTGATATAATCGAAACTTTATTAATATTGACATTATATATATCATTAGATTTAATCTTTTGTAACTATTATTATTACTTGTATATAAAAATAATAATAAAATAACCAGCAAGTAAAGATAGATAAATAAAATAACTATTTTATAAAGTTTTATATACATGTCTCTAATTTTCATCACTGTATGTTAATATATGTATATTATTTTATGTTATATGTGTATAATATATATGTATAAAAAAGTTAGGTAAATTTTTAACTTTTTTCAGCTTTAGTATAAAGTCCATCGTACCATCGCTTAATTTTGCGTTAATTTTGATCATGTAAAAGATTTTTGATTCTGTTTAGTCAATTCGGAAATCTTTGTACGACTATAATGTCGATAATTTGGTTTAATATCCTGTTAAGTACAAGTTAATTTGGCTTTTCACCAAGGAATAGCGTCGTAAGAGCTCGATCGATCGGTATACGGAATGAAAGAAAGAGAAAGGGAGAGAAAGAGAGAGAGAGACTGAGCTATCCAATAATACTGGACCAACGTACGCATGCTCAATGTCATTTGCTCCTTCTCTCAGGAACTGCATCGCATAGGAATAATGCCTCGCGAGTAACATCGCGACGGGCAAATGCAGCTCGCGTAGGCTCGCCACTCTCTTTGCATTTTTTTGCATGTAATCTATAATCGAGAATATAATTATCGGGAGAGACGAGGCAGTTATGAGGGAAAATGTGAGTGCGTGCAAAAATATAATATTATCGAATTCTCTCGACATTTACAATGCAGCAACAACCTCAGCGGACATTTTTCTTAAAATTATTTATATAATTTTTCATAATTTCCATATGAATTTTAAAATTTTTCAGAAATCCTTTTTTAGAAAATTTCTTTGATACACATTGGAACACTTCAGAAGTGCTGAGAAAGTTTACTTACATCTTTTCTAAAATACTTTGCATATGTGAATTTTGGAATATTCCTAAGATTTTTTATTTGTACATTTCCAAAGAAACATAAAATCTAAAGAAGTTTAAAATCTTTTTCAAAATCTTCGTATATATAAATTACAAATACAAAAAATTCTTAAAAATACTGTAAAATATTATAAAGATTTTTTTCATTAAAGAAATATTGCAAACTCAAATCACTGTAAAGGATGGCTAATTAAGGGATGGAAAGATTTATGTATCTGCAAATATTGGCAAATTCGAAAATAATGAGAGAAAATATAAATTAAATCTCTAAAAGGATCAATAAATTTTGGCAGAAATTAATGAAGATTTAATATCTTGTTTTCAAAATAAGAAATGTTAACTTTTTACATGTTTAACTTTATATATATTTCATATAGCGTAAATTATGTGTTATTCTTTTTCAGGATGGAATTATGTTATGTTTTTTATTGATACTCGCATTATGTACGAGAGTATATTCGGCGAACGCCAGACATGTAATTATCAAGAGAAATTACAGTGACCAAAGTGTAAGAGGCTATCTAGCCGAGGTAGATAATTATAATTTGATACAATAATAATTAAGTTGAACTATACTCCTATTCAAATAAATCAAATAAGTAAGGAGTTATATACGGTTAAAGTCTTGATGCCTAATAATATTTCTATGTGAATTTTTAAATATCTTTTTTGATATGATTTCTTTACTTATTTGAAATATTTTATATTATTACGCACAAATATTGTATTATTCAATAAAAAATCTAAAATAATAAATTTATTCTAAAATTTTTGAAACAATAAATTCTCTGATATTCCTCAGAGGACTTGCTGGTGGAACGAAGTGTGTAAGGAAGAATTTCACAGTAAGTTTCGGTGTCGCTGCCCGAAATGGTCCTATTGTCGTTCACCAGGAAGATATTACGACGCACACTGTAGTATGACACGCACAGGCTACATATGGACCCAACCTGAAACGTCATTAAGTCTCGAAATCGATAAGTAAACGATGCTATGGAGTACCAGTCCCGCGAAGAAAGACAGGTGAATTAAAAAAAAATCGATAGAATCCATTTCGCATGGCAAAGTTCATGAAATAAAGTAAGTGCAGAAATATATTTTTTTTGTTAATAGTTTATCGCATTTTCTTATCGTTAACAATTATTCGCCAGTTCTTTAATAATAATTCTCTAATTAATTTATTTTAATTATATTTTTATTGATTATACAAATTCACAGAAATTATTTTCAACTAATATTAACATACGGATTTTGTACAGGGATAGCAATGTACGATGGAAATATTGAAAATCAAACATCCGTTCAAAATCAAAATCGGCGTTTGTTAAAATTTTGCAGATTTATTCATCAGTTATAAGATACGACACAATTGTTTTAAAGGTAATTTTCTATTAATAGATTTATCTAAAAAAAAGATTTATCTAGAAAAAACGTTGTTCCAAGAATGACATTCAAAAGACATTTGAATTTGGAAGAGCAATGTAATTATAATAATATTAGAGCATCCACAAGTTTACGCTATCAAGAATTTATGATTGACATACTATATAATAAATTCATTATGTGCTATTAATAAAATTCTGACGAAATAATTTACACTGTGAATAATTTACTCACTTGTCCTATAGATTTAAGATTTGTTTTCCTTTACAGAAGATTAATCCTAAAAGATAGTAATTATATATTACTTATTTGTTCAGTACTATTCTTCTCAGTACTTTTAATACTCAAAATAAGTAAACTAATCACTACTTTTCAATATTAAATTGGATTTCTGTGTAGAATTATATATTTTTGCATGTAACTCTTTGATGTATTATTTTGATGTTAAAATTATTACTAACTGCTAATTTTAAACTTTTATATTTCATAATGGTTTTTGTAATGTATAATTATTTAATATTTCTTCATTTATATAATTTATAAAAAGAACATGTTTAAATTCGAGGATACATTAAACCTATATTTTATCATTATTGAAATAGTATTAAAATTAATTACCGCAAGCAATCTGATTTTAATTTAAGCTTATCATATATTATTACAATATTGTACATCGTGCGCCTGTTTAGTGCTGCGCTGAGTCAGGTTATCTTCTTTTTAACAACTACTTAAGAAAAGAATAACATAACTTTAGCATTTACCGTATCTAGATTGACGTTATTGCAAAAACTCCTTAATAACATAGAGGGTCCTATTAACGCACAGTGCAATAGCACACATCCACTCACATCGGTGCCTAGTAATCACTAGTAACTTTTCACTAATGAGAATATTTTATTTTAAATTAGCCAATTAGCGATATGCGCTATCAGAACCCTTTCAATAATACATGTAAGCAATTGATCTCTAAGCAAAGAGAGATGTAGACAAAGACGGCTATAGGCAAAAGAAGCACTCTTATCTAAATCAAATACAGAGAACAGAACATAATGTTTATACATATAATTATATATAATTGCTATGCAAATTATACTATAATTATAACTATTATACGCTATCGGTCAAAAGTTTCAGCTCCGTTTATAGAAATTTCCGTAATATAAAGAATAAAATATAAATACAATTTGCATATGTCATGTTTTTAAATGCATTGTATACATGTTTTCACTAAAATAAATTTATAAGAAAAATTATTTTTTTTTTAGATTTTCTACTTCTCACAGCCTAATATCCCTAGATTTTGAATAAGAGCCATAAACTCTTGGCATTCTATCGATAAGTTTTTCAAGTGTTTCAATCAAAGATTTGTAAATAATTTTATGCTTAATTTTTGCAAGACCATTATTTACATACCATTTTCTTAAAGATTAGCGAAAAATTTTTAATTGATGTTTCTTTCAATCGACATATATAATATTTGTCTATTTAAAAAATTTACTTGTAATTTCCGTTTATAATTATTTTTCGACAATTCACCATTAAATATTCCGTGATTCAAAATAAAAGAGTGTATCATATTATAATTCCCTATTTTATAAAAAATAGAATTGTTAGCAAAAGTATGCTGAATCTTTTGAGCAGTAAGGATAGGTCTACAACCTTGCTTTAAGAGGTCGTAAGACGTAAATTTTTGTGAGTGACGACGATATGTCGGCCACAGAACTTATGCTTTTATGCCGTAAGAATTGGGTTTTGCTCAATTCGCTTAGGTAAGTCTAACGGTTAAAATCTAAAGATTGTGTAAAAACAGTTTAAAAACAGAAATTATTGTTACTTAATCTTTTTCGATTTATGACGTAAGGCCTCTTAAAGCAAGGTGGACCTACCCTAACGCATGACATTGTATGATTGTTATTTTGTATTTTGCTGAAAATGCTACAGATCACAGAAAGTTATTGATTACCCTGCGAACATATAAAAACTCTGACGTCAATGGTCTCCAGGATACGATCATCCCTACCCACTTTGCTGACAGTACCAGGACACCTGCGCGCGAATATCGATCGACACCCACCTGTCTGATTGTACCGGCGAATTCTTGCTGGAGCAGATGCAGTTGATTTTAAACGATATCTGACACAACAGCTCATCATTTCTCACCGACCATCGGTATCTAATTTGTTATTTTCTGTGTATCGACAAAATCACAACCATCTATTTCCTTTATTTCCAGCGTTTTCATCTAAGTTAAAGTGAAGTAATCGTTACTGCTGAATAAACAATTATTTCTAATAAACAATTTTAAAAAGTTATAGCAAATCTATGTCAGTTATATCACAAAATAATAATGAGGAATAGCAATTATTAAGTTTATCATTGACATTTTGATCGCAATAATTCTCCACTCTGCTTTTTATTGTGTTCTCGTATTATGTCTCTGTTATATTACGCTGTTAATTTCTAATGGTTGCGTTATAATCGCTATTGTTCTAATATATAAATAATTTATAGACAGATATACTCTATTTCGATCTATAATTATAACAAAATAATTTTTTTTTATATCTTCTTTTTCTCTTTTTGTTTAATCGAATTTTTCATCAAACTTGTTGTTGAATCCTTTTGTTCGTATTATGGCCAGGCCATCAATTCCCTTCATCGCTTCTCATGTACTTGTTGCATTAATTTCTCTGGAGTTATATTTCCGAGGTGCAACAATTTAAATTCGACGAGCGCTTGCGCGTATTATCGATTCGACATCTCGGTTTGGACCTCGTCAGCTGCGAGATTTATGGAAGAGCAGAGAGACAATGGCGAGTAGAAGAAACGAATTCCTTCGAATTCTCTTGATATGCGCAGTAGTGATATTTAGAGGTGTTACATCCAATATCAACGATGGAAGCTTCGATGGAAGTAACTTCAATAAATTTGACGCTCCTGACCAATTTTCTCACGTATGTAACTTAATTTATACTTAATATATTACATCTTAATAAATTGTTACGTCGTAATATTTAAAATAATATTTACGCGTGTAAAAAACTTAATAAATTAATAAGCATATTCCTCTTTTTACTTAAGTTTGTATTAATACTCATCCGTATTAATTTCATAGAGTAACATTTGAGTATTTATTATGAGGCATTATATATCTCTAATCTATATAGAGATATATAAAATACCAAAATCGCATGAATCATATTTTAATATTATAATAACAATAATCCTGGTCTGTAATAATCATATGTTTACGACTTTCTTGTTATCTTTATTATGCAGGATCAGTTTTCGGAATCCTATAACACGCCATTGCATCCCATCGAAAATCGTTTCTGGCGAAGTCCCGAAAATCTTGGTGAGATTTCCGGAGTCGCTGTGGAACCGACGGGAAATCTCGTAATTTTTCATCGCGGAGATCGAACATGGAATTACGAGTAAGTCATTAATAAATTAATGAATGCAAATCAAAGACATAAAAATTAAATCATACTCGTTAAGAAAAACAACGAAGCATTTAAGTACTCTGCAATACTTTCTATATTTATAGTTTTTATATTTAAAAAATATAATAATA